CACCCTCTGAGATTCAGTAGTCTATTCCATGCTGCTATGTCTCTGGGTCTATTTTGTTTATCAATTTATTGTGTTCATTAGATTCCACATATAAGTGAGATCATGTGCTACTGTCTTTCTCTGACTGGCTTATTTCACTTAGCATAATACTCTCCAGCTCCCTTCATGTTGTCTCAAAGGGGAAGATAGCCTTTTCTTTACCACTGCATAGTATACATGGTGTAAATGTACCACAGGTTTTTATACACCATCTACTGATGGGCACTTGGGCTGTAAACTCAAAATGGATAAAATACTTGAGTGTAAGTCGTGAAACCATAAAAATCCTTGAAGAAACCATAGGCAACAAATCTGAGACATCTCTTGTAGCAATATGTTTGTAGATATCCCTCCAGGTCTTCAGCTGCTGTCTGTGGGAGCCCGACCAGCCCTTTTGCGCGCCTCTGCACTTCCTATGAATCTCTATATGGTCTCCACTTTCCATCCTTGGTTATCAGGGTTCTCTCCAGCTAGTCCTCAGTTGATATTTCAAGGTGGTTCTTCTGTATTTATTTGTATTTCCAGTTTGATTCTGGGAATGTGTTAGTTTATCATCTACTCACTTCCCTGCCATTTTGTAGTCTCCATGTCCAAGTATTTCGATCCAAGCCCAGAGATTCCTTTTTATTTTTTTTATTTTTTAAAATATTTTATTAAAATATATTTCATCGATTTTTTACAGAGAGGAAGGGAGACAGAGATAGTTAGAAACATCGATGAGAGAGAAACATCGATCAGCTGCCTCCTGCACATCTCCTACTGGGGATATGCCCGCAACCCAGGTACATGCCCTTGACCGGAATCGAACCTGGGACCTTTCAGTCCGCAGGCTGACGCTCTATCCACTGAGCCAAACCGGTTTTGGCCAGAGATTCCTTTTTAGATAATACCTCTCATTCTCATGCTGCCATTTAAATTTGTTTATTGTGGAAATTGTTTAAAAGAGAAATTGAAGAAAGGTATGCAGTTCCCCTCTATATAAAGCTACATTGGAAATCTCTGAGTTCACAGCCCATGGCAGGAATTAGCATGTCAGCAACTGTGGGTAGAGATAATGATTACAAGAGATGCTCAATGTCTTAGTTATTTAAGAGTTGATCACTAGTTTCCTGGAAATTACTTATCACTCTTACAGGCAAAAACTCAGATTCTTAAGGATTATTAGGGAAACTTCTATTTCACTTAGCTTCCCATGATCCATTGATGGCACTCTAGTCACTAATTCAGAACTTTGCCCTTTGAGGGATGAGAGAATTCAGTAAGGAAAGGAGGTGGGCAT